ACTGTCACGATTACGGGATCCCTAGAATCCTTAGAAAAAGTATCCTCGCCCGATCCTTTTCTGGAAGAAACTTCAACTTCCTTTCCCAGTTTACATAACTTTTTAACTGAGAAATCATTTAATTCCCAGACCAGCACGGCAGGGGCTTCCAATGCATGAATAAACAAAGTGCAGCACAGAGGATCTAAGGTTGATATATTATCAACCGACACGTCCGATATATAGTGTACCGGCCCTAGTCAATGCGTTTGTTTAAATTGTAAATGATTTGCAGACTTACACAGAGACATAGAGCTCTCGATTCTAGAAACTCTGGTGAGTTTCTGATTTGTTTTCTCCCACAATCCAACGCAGCAGATCTTGATTATTTCTGGTTTGAAGCTTGCCCTTTGGATCCAAAAAACAAAATTTGTTCTGATTAACTATTTTATTTTTTACTTAACGATATTGGGAAGTGGGGTTAGGCTGAGTCAGACAATAACCTAACAATTACTATTTTAATATGAAAGTAAAATCGAACCTAATAATTTCTCTTATAAGTGAAGAGAGAATTTTTTGCTAGAATCATCAGAAGAAACAATCAAGTGAATCCAACCCCCCGAACAATGCCTTATTGAGTTTGTTCAAGTTGTATACGTCATAACTTTGAGACATTCTTGAGCACGAGCTTTTGTATTGTGGGATCGTTGTTAATCATTGAAGTTCAGGGATAATTTTATACAATGACAATAAGGTCCGCAACGTTTTATGGCACGGAGTGTAAGGTGGTCAAAAAATAACATTTGTAAAAAAAGAGTGATAGAGGTGAGAATGTTTCGATGTTTGTGTGGGCACACAATAAATAATAGGATAAAGAATGAGGACACCCAAGGCAAAGTAAGAGTAGCCACATTGAAGATAAGATAAGAAATAATCGGTTAAGATGGTTTGGACACATGAACTAAAGACATGTAGATGCTCTACTTAGAAAATGCGACTGTGAAACGGAGGCTCAAGTCAAAAAGGGTAAAAGAAGACTTGAAAAGAGACTTCAAGAAAATATATGGAGTATTTGGAGCTAAAGGAATAATTTAGCGCAAAACAGAATATAGTAATATTCTAGAATTCATACGACCGATCCTACTTGGTAGATGTTGGCGGTGGTGGTTTGTTATAGGATGCATGGCCATCATCGACGACGAGTGTGTAACTTGCATGCATTCTTCGCGTGCCCAAGAAGGTCAATCTAAAAAACAAGACAATGTTAAGCCCACGGTACACCATGGCTTCTCAAACCATTTACATGTAAGCCCAAAAACCAATCATAGGGCCATTTGATGTGCCCGCAGTTCAAATCAACCATACAATACACCCGAACCACCAAACCTGCAAAAAAACTAAACCGAAAACCAGGTCTTGTGTTGCTTATTGCCGAAGAATTGAAAATTTTAGCCACAACCCTTAAATTAAGCATTGAAGTCCCAATATGGAAAAGTTGTTCCCTCGTGACCTAACATTTATGGGTTCGAGTCGTGGAAATAGTATCTTTGCAAAGTAAAGGTAAAGCTGACTATTACAAAACGGGGAGCCTTATTTGCTTGGGATTGAAAGACAAGCAAGTTATGGAGTGCCCCTTTCATGCATTTGCAAGGCGCACTGGATTTTCAGCTTCTGTCCCAATCAGAATTGTGGCTTGTATTGTAATGGCATTCAAATCTAACTTCCCCAAGTTGTGCTATATGCAGAAATGTTGTGGTTTTAAAACACAAATGTCTGCATCCTAACTAATTCAATTCCTAAACGTGCGCAGTGGGTGGATCCACAACTTTTCACTCATAGATGGACATGCCTAATAGGCCAAATCAGGACAAGGATCGAAATGTTCGTCCCCGTCCCCCTCTAAAAGAAGAGACACTTACAATACACGAGGATTCAAAATGTGATGGTAGTTTCTCAATAAATATGACGCTACGTGAGAAAGTTATAACGTTTGATGAAGCGTGTTAAGTTTGAGACTATCACATTGGCAAATCCATTTGATACAAATCTTTCTCCTCTACATATAGGTTTGAAACATAACAACATTGACATTTGTGTTTTTGAAAGATTTTATTTTTTAGATAACAAGAATTTCGCTACACTTGGGATGTAATTTTGATGATAGCTCAAGGCCAATGAGTGTAGGATTAACCATTGACGTCATTTTAGGGATAACTCAAATCAATAAAAACGCGATTAGCTTAAGATACCGTAAGAACTGTGGCATGCATGCAGTTAAGAACAAGATAAGGGTCTTGGCAAACATGATTGATGTAAAAGTGATTGTGGAAAAAAATTTCAATTTGTCGAGAAGGCGGCCTGGCACACTACGTATCAAGGAGTTGGATGCTTAAATTTTTTTTTAACCACTTGTATAATAATCCGTGATATACCAAAACATTAAAAAATCTCTCCGGATTGTGGTCCCTTGTTTCTACATTTTACACTTTTATAGTACAGGTAGGTTGGCTTTTAGTTCATGATGTAAATGAGAACTGGATTCACCTATTTTTTTCACTTTTGCCCTCATTTGGATCCGTCATTTAAGTATCAACATCACTCTGTCTGACTTTGTGGTAAAGGCAAAGGCTACTTTTTCTCCAAAGATTGAAAACTCTCATCCGCCCAAATTTGTAGAAGGTTCAAAATTCGGATTCCAAATTTTGGTTAGCTTCTAACTTCAATGGGATTAGATGTATGGTTCTTTCTGTCTATTGATCACCGTATAATATGCCTAATCTAGGGCTTTGCTTGGTGTCTGGCATTGACAGGATTGGACAAGTGTTGAATCAACCTCGCTTGGGTGAGAATTTAAGGGAAAAACTTGAGTAGGAGGCCCGATCATGTCATTTGTATATCCATTTCATAAAAGCGTGCGGCCCTTTATATTTTATTCTCATTTGACCTACCTAATATGAGAGACAGTCTTACTAAAATTTCTCTTCTCAACTAGAGACATATGAATCTGATTATGTCAAGCTATATTCCAACATCATAATCCAATCCAAACCATAACTACAATCGTTATTGATGCACATTGCTCAATAATATCAACAAGGACACTAGTGCAAGTTCAATTATAATCGTGTCTCAACCCACCAAACCTGATTGTACAGAAGTTGAGACTTGTAACAACGCAATCCTTAAATGTTAGATCCTTACATCCAATGTTTTATTCATTCAGTGCATTCTATACACTGCAACATAGTAGAGTTTTCGGATTACGAGGCTAAGAAACATAAGAAAATGAAAAAAAAAAGGTTCTAATTGCTTAAGAAGGTTCAATGTGTTTGAGAAAATGAAGGGGTGGTTGTTGTGTGTATTCTCACGTACTTAATAATTGGCATATGACAAACACATTGTGCAGCAAATTCTGCAGATGTTGACATTATCCACTGGTCATGAACCTGCCAGGATTAAACTTGCATTCATGCTAATGCTGTGGGTAAAATGGTAATTTACAAGGCTGAGCAGTTGGACCTTTTTTTTTTTCTTTCTTTCTGAAAGCTTGAAAAAAGGAGGAGTTGAACGAGAAAATATATACTCAACAAGTCGGTGAACTCTCATAAAGGGTGGACTCATTCAAAGTAAGTTATACCGACCTTGGAGAAGATGTATCGAGGTACAATGAGGCTCGTTCATGTGTAAGAGTGTTTGACCATTTAGTGAGATTGCAAGACTTAAGTTTTTCTCAAAGTCGAACACGTATCTTCTTCTCCTTTTTCTTGTGCAAATGCAATAATGAGATTTTGATCCTCGTCGAATCTCCGTAGGGATTCTAGGGATCAACGCATACATACCATTGATAAAAAATCGTGCGATCCTAATTAAATATTTTTTATATTTTTAAAAGTAAATTAGTCTCGTTTTAAGTGAAAAATATAAATAAAAAAAAAATTGTGGCCGCACAATTTTTTATCAACAGTTCGTGTGTGTTGATCGCTAGGGAGGGGATCCGGTGAGAATCCAATTCCACAATAATGAATGCTTCTAACTAATTGAGCCAAAGCAATATTTTAGATAAGTTGGATCTAGTTTGCATCCAAATCCAAAGATAATTTAGTTTGACTAAAGAGAATTTAATCCTTGTTTGGAATAAGGGGTGTGATATTTACACATCTTATTTTACTTTTCACACGTCCTTCTAATTTTCGGCCGTCGGATCGAATGAATTGATGAAAATCAACGGATAAAAATTAATAAGGAATGTGTAAAAAGTAAAATAGGATGTGTGGATACCACAACCCTAAAATAAATGAGTTGGCTTTGTGTTGCGGGGGAAATCTGCAGATTAAGTGCACTATGTATGTATGGTATGGTATTTGACTAATTGAATAATTTGTTTAATTTTAGCAGCGTAGTTAAGACTTAATCCACTCAAAGGGGTCTCTCAAGTCAATGACAACTTTGAGGCGCTATTGACGATTTTATTTTTATTTTTCTTTATAACTTTATACATCTTTCTTGCAAACTCACAATCATTAGCCTCTCTTTGCAGATAGATTTTTAAGTGTGCTAAAAATATAGTTAGGTTAGGTACATTAAGTGTTATAATATAAATAATTACATATTTGAAAGAAATTTTTTCAATCACTTGTGTTTTAATACTTGATGTATCAAACTGTATTTTTAGCACACTGAAAAATTTCTACACTTTTCATCCACGAGATGAGATGAGTGTCATAATACATTTGGTATATTGAACTATATTGTAAATTTGTCAATCACTTGTAGACACATCTATTATTATGTGACAATGATGATAATTGCCTCAATTCTTCAATCACATGATGATTATTTATAAGTGATAAAAATAATTGTTTATCATTTGGTTTATTAAATTAAATTTTTACATTAATGAGGGGAATTAGTGAAAATGAATTGATCTTAATGATGATATGGAACATGTACGCACCACACTCTCCCCAAAGCGCGTGAGCAGATCCCACCAAAACAATTCTTACCAAACAAAAGAAAGTAAACCAGTCTCATCTCATCAAAACTGAGTCCCTCTATTCTTCCCTCCCCCCCTCAATTTTCTCTCATTTTCTTGCACTTTCTCAGCAACCAAACAGAAAAAATTCAGAGAACCTATCAATGGAATCCTCACCCAGGCACCACCAACAGGATAACCCAACTCCATCTTTGCTTCCCTCCCCAAACAGCCACAGCTCCAACAGCAGCACGAGCAGCTCCAACAACAACCGTCACCTCAACGGCGGAGCTCCGCCAACAACCCCGACTCCCCATCCTCCTATACCCTACACCAGATCCGAAACCGCCAACCCGTACCCGACCACCTTTGTCCAAGCTGACACCTCCTCCTTCAAACAAGTCGTCCAAATGCTCACCGGCTCCTCCGAAACCGCTAAGCAAGCCTCTTCGAAACCCGCGTCCGACCCGCACCCGAAAACCCACATCCCACCCATCAAATCCACGCCCACAAAGCAACAATCCGGATCCGGTTTCAAGCTCTACGAGCGCCGGAACTCCCTCAAGAACCTCCGGATTAACCCATTAATCCCCGTCTCCAGCTCCGCAGCTTCCGGATTCTCGCCGCGGAATCCCGAGATTTTATCTCCGAGCATCCTCGATTTTCCTGCTCTGGTTCTCAGCCCTGTCACGCCGCTGATACCCGACCCGTTTGACCGGTCCGGGACGCCGAGTTACGGCCCGAATCCAAATGGGTGTTCGAATTTGAACAGGGAGGCGGAAGAGAAGGCTATTAAAGAAAAGGGTTTTTACTTTCACCCGTCGCCGAGCACGACGCCGCGGGAATCTGAGCCCCGACTGCTGCCTCTGTTCCCGACGACGTCGCCGAGAGCTGCTTCAGGTTCATCATCTTCTTGAATTAAACGTGACTTTTCTCTTCTTCTTTTTTTTTTAATTTTTAGTTTTGTGTAATTTTAATGTGTTATTAATGTTGACATTGATTATTATGATGATGAGGGAAGGTAAATTGTAATGGAATATTTGCAGAGAAATGAAGAGAGAGCCTTTAATCAATTGAAAATTCTAATGTATGCCTCTCCTTTTTTATGAGAAATGCTAAGGATCTCCTAAATTGTTTTTATCACAATATTTTATATTATTGTCGCAAAAATTAACGTTAAAGTGTGCAGTGACGTAAAGTTTATGAAGTGTCTCCTTTGAGAGAGTCTCTTTGAATCATTTCTCTTCGAATTTACTTCAACTTATTTCCTAATGCTTGTTTGGATGATGAGAAAGTAAAGGAGGAGAGAAATTTTCAGTTTTTAGTTTTGTGTTCCAATTTTTATATGGATATTAGGCCAATTGGGTGAAAAAAGTAGAATTTTGTTTTAATAAAATCATACATATTTTAAAATACAATAGAAACTTACATGAAAGGGAGACGCTTTGGCGGTAAAATAAGGAACATGGAGCAAGCAACTGGACGAGAAGATAGCAAGAAAGCGGGGAGTACACACCAAACCACAGAGCTGACGAAGCACACTCGACCTTATTTTGTATGAGAGTTTTAACAAAACACTTTCGGTATTGTTTACTTTTACCGAAAAATCACATTTTTATCTTTAACTGGCATTATTCACTATACCTTTAAAAATGATTTTTTGTTAAAAAAGAAATTTTTTTAGACTTTCATTAGTTTTCCTTATTTTTTAATTACGAGAGGAGAATTCGAATTGCAGTGACAGAGGTGGATACTTTGCCCTAATTAACTAGCCTAACAATTTGCGAGGAAGGAAAAATATTTAGAATTTGAATTGGGAGTGAATAAGTCAAAATGTGGGGGTGTGAATTAAATTCAATGGAATTATGAATCACCATGCACTGCATGAGAGGTTGAATTATGCTGTTCTGAATTCTGATATGGTCTCTGCCAACTCTATTTTCTTCAATAAATGGGGAAGTAAATAGCGAGATCTAATTTTACTTCCAAAACCTTTTGACATTAATTGTGACCGTGTGAGAAGAAGTGGAGATTAATAGGAGGATTGATTGAGTAAAGGGTCATGTTATTTACACTTATTTTTATTTCTCATAACTTTTGTCAAATTTTGATCGTTGAATCAAATGAATTGAAGAAAATCAAAGAACAAAAAAAAAAAAATGTGTGAATTGTGTAAAATAGGGTAAAAGAGCTTAGGGATAGCTGTCAAAGAAAGAGTAGAAGAATGGGCAAGGAATCATAACTCTTTTGTTGTTTATCTCAGTGAGATGAAGATGCCAAGCAAACTAGGGCAGCCTGCATACTGTGTGCACAGTGTCTTATTTACGTTTTTATCAGCTGGTCTCTGAAATTGGATATTTCAATCAAAATAATTTATGAAATAGGAAATTCATCAATTTGGTCTTTAAAAACAACTTCTGCAAGTTATGGGTGATTTGGGAGTGAGGTGCTTAAAAAAAAAACACCTATGAAAAAAAGCTTTGAGGGTTTTAGGTGTTTGGTAAATTGAAAAAAAAGGCTTATTTTGGAAGCTGTTGTGAGAATAAGCTGAAATCAAAGAAAAAAGCTGAAGCTGCTATTTGCAGCTTTGGAAAACTGATTTTTTTTCAAAGCACACGGAGTTACAGTGCTCCTTTAATGAAAAGACCCACTATGAGACTGTTTTTTTTTCCAAAAGCACTTTTACAAAAAAGTTTACCAAACACTCTGCTGATTTATTTCACAGCCGCTTATTCTCACAGCACAACCACTTATTCTCACAGCAGCTTTTTTTTTCAAAGCACAGCAATACCAAACCAGCTCTTAGTTTGGTCATTCGGTTAACTTTCTGTCACTGTTAGTGTGTTGATTTGGCGCACGAATGGGTTTTACCTAGCCAGTCATTTTTGCAATTATTTGATCAATTTGTTTAGAGTTCTTTTTTTTTTTTTTTTTTTTTTTTGGTGATTGGAAGCATGAATTAGGCCTTTTTTTCAGATGGTTTGAAATTGAGTGGTTGGTGGGAGAAGAGGAGTGGGTTGAAGTGTAGTATCCTACATCGACGGGGTGAGGGTTGGTCCCTAGCCTTATATGTACATGCCCCTTTCTTCGTAGCATGACACGTTTTGGGTAGTGAGGTTCTTTTGTCCAGGAACAAATCCGTGAGGGCGTGGCCCAAAGCGGACAATATCGTGTTACAACGGAGTCAGGATATGACATGAAGAGTTAGTTAGAGGGAGATTTGGGAACCAAATTTATACATTCCAAATGCTTGAAGAGTGAAACAATAGGCCCCAAATCTTGGGTACCAAATGCTTGGGGCGATGACCCCGTCGGGACGGAGATGACGGCTCCGATCCATGCGGTTGCCTGCCTTGGTTGAAATCTAACAATGTTTGTTTTCAGGTGTGCTTTTTTACTAAAAAAGAAGACCAAAAACCGCGTGTAATGGGGTCCGGGCATGAGATAGTGAAAGTGGTGGAGGAGGAGGAATGTGGGACTTGTGATCAAAACGGGAAAGCCAGAAAACATGGCGAGTGTTGTGCAGGTTAACAAGAGACTGCTTGGCCTCTTGTGCTTTTTGTTTGTTTGCTTTGCTTGCTTTTGCGGGCGATATTTTTGTAGATTGCTTTGTTTGGCACTTTTGCTAGTATTGTTGAGGGATTGATTGCGGATTTGAAACTTTCCATGTGCGCACTTTTTGGAAACTCATTCGGTCTTTCCTCTCTTCAATCAATATCCATCATCTCACTTCAATTTTAATAAAAAACACTTGTATCTATTAGTTAATATTATACTAACACTAAGGTCCTTGAAACACCAACCATGCCATGCCGACGATCCCATGAATATTTTTAAGACGGAAAATGATTATGAAAAAAGTTAAGTGTTTTCTAATTAAATTGAAAGCGTTTTTGTGTACGTTTGACATAAAATATTTAAAAGTAGTTCCAGGTGTCGAAGCACTTAATGGCAACTAGAATCTAAATGTTTGTTTTTTTTAACACTTCAAGCTTTTCTTAAGAATAACACCCAATACAAATTGAGTGTTTGTATAAAAGCACTTTTAGTACATAACGCATAATAAATCTATTCCATTAAGAGAAGAGGGCTTGTCAACTTTTTGCCCTCACTTTTGAATACAAACAGATGATATCAGAAGGGTAAAATAGTAATTTTGTATATTTTGACAAAATGATAATTTTATCCCCAATTTTTCTATTTTGCCCTTACTTTTGATACACAATATTTACATAAGGAGAGCAAAATGGTAATTTAGTATCAAAATATTTACATAAGATAAAAATATGCACTTATTAAGAGAAATTGTTCCACCATCATTTTTTTATATAGGTAAGTGAAATCATGATGTTTTTTTGATAGTTTGAATGAACTAAAGCTGTTGCGCTTGAGGAGAACGTGGGAGGAGGTGAACGATTATTCATACACACAAAATGTGTGCTCACTGCTAGTATTTATTATAAAACCTTTTTTCAAACGAGTCTTTAAAAATATTCGACTTTGTCCACCATTGACCTAGATTCAAGCTTGGGGCAATAGATTGGATTGTCAACGAGTGGAGTTTGGGATTGGGATCGAGCCAAGCACTACTATTTTAGCCTAGTTTCATCTTCATCCATTGGGTCAATTCATCATATTATTTTTCAACCCAATCTATTTTATATATGTTGTAATATTTAAGTGTATTATAATATAAGAAAGTGTTATTATTGACACTCCAAAAATCTCATTTTACACTTTTTATAATGTATTTTTCTTTCTAAATACAAAAAAATTAAAATTTAAAATAAGATTTTTAAATCGCTAATAACAATTCAATAATATATACTACAAGACTAATTGGTTAGACTTGGGATTGGGATCGAGCCAAGCACTACTCAAATGTCAGGCCACCTAGCCGACTCTTAGTTGCATGATGACATCACCACGCACTCTCGATCTCACTCCTTTGTTTTTAGTTTCATGAACGTCCTTTTATCTTAATCGACAGCTTATTGCATAGCAAATTTACCGACTACAAATCTTATTTTACTAAACAAAAAGATAAGAATTTTGTTGGTATGTGTGAGTCTCATTAATTAATCTGATTGTATCGTTTCCTAGGGGGTAATAGAGATATATTTATAATAGGGAATTGATTTTTGCTTTTTCATTTTTTTTGCACTCATCTCCTCGTGTTTTGATTTTATTCGATCAACTCAATCTAAACGCAAAAAATAGAAAAGAAAGTGCAGGAAGAAAATAAAAAGAGGGCAGAATTCATTTTCCTTACAACTGCAGCAATGCTATTTCCAGATGTAAGCAGAGGAGAACTAGGCCAATGTGGAAAAGGATGCAATACAATTAATTATCAAAGGCTATTGGCCTCATTGGTTCTACGTAATTTGCATGCATGCTATTCCCAAGAACACTGGAAAATTAATAAGCCCCAGAAGAAAAAAATAAAAAAAATAAAAGAAATCCTGATTCCTCATTTTATTTAAAACATACGTACCGAATTATATATATATATATATATATATATATATCTTTATTTTCATTTCTTCCTTAATAATAATAATAGGAATATAAACAAACACATTCATCTTAATATTTTTCTTTTAAATTAAAACACCAAAGGAGGAAATTAATTATATAAATCTTACAAGCATAAATGATGATGATGATGATCATAGCGATGATCGATGAGTGATCCCACTTTCATTATCTCTTCGCTATATATCCTTGTACGTACGTACCCTTTATGGCCATGTTAATTAACTGGATAGAATCGATCATCGATCAGATTTAGCGTCTGGCGCAGCGGGTGATGTACTGGCAACCGCGCTTGTAAGGGTTAGCCCTCTGCCTTCCTTGGCAGTTGTAGTAGGACCGACCGCGGCGTCCGCATGGAACAGCATTGCGTCTCAGGGCACCATAGCCAACGTACCTCCTGCCGCGGCCTCTGAGTGTCCTACGAGTGCTCTCTGTCTCCATCATCATCTCATTCTCCTCTCCGATCAAGTCACCGACTTTGCTGTTGGCGCTGTCGAGCAACGACTCATCATCGTGATTGCCGAAGTGGCTGAGAGTCCACAAGGCATCGTGGACCTTGGCCGATGACCTAGCCACCATGGCCAAGACCACCATGAGGGCGATCAGGTAGAGCTTGAATCCCATCGTTGGTGTTTGTTTAATTAGGGGTAGGGTACGTACGTACACAAACAAATTAAAAACACAATTTGTTTGTATGGGGAGAAGAAAAGAGAGGGCTTTATTAATTGGCCTCTGTCTCTGCCCTTCCTGACAGAAGGAAGGAAGGACAATGAAGTATATAGAGGAAAATGTCCAGCTGATTCGTTGGGATAAAAAAGGAGGGTCAAATTTAGTTTGTTGGGTTGGTGTTTTTGGTGATTGAACGCATATTTTGGGTGCCCCCTGCCCGTTTCTTTCTCCTCGTTTATCTGTCACATTGTTAATATATAGGGATAGAGTGCTAACATCAGTCGTGCATAGACAAGTAAATGATTTTTTGTCTGTCTATGAACGTGATCTCACATTTATTAACGGTTGAAAATGTTTCAAACACTCACGCGCGACTGATAGTAACATTTTGTATATATATATATAGTTGTAGTTTTGGTGTTGCATGTAAATATTGTTTAAACGTATAGGACAACTGTTTTTCTACCCGCCATTTGCTGTAATTGGAAGATAAATCTAACTTTTTCTCTATGGTCCTCAATTTTTATGGCTATTTTATGTTGACTGATATGGTTAACCTCTTCTGATTTTGATTTTGAATTTTTGATTTTTGATTTTTGACTTTTTTTTTTTTTTTTTTTTTTTTTTTTGCATTAGCAGAATTTTGACACCTTTTTGTGAAATGTGGCACATTGGGTTTGAGCTTGAATGTGAGAATGGGCTTATATATACGTAGCCCATAGCATAGTTTGTATTCCGTTTTGCACTATTCCCAATGTATTTACTAGGATTGGCTCAAGATAGGGAACCGAGATCCTCTCCGTATCTGGGGAAATCTGAGTCTAAGGATCAAAAAATTCGGGCCGTTTAATTTGATCTAATGAATACAAACAAGAGACCCCTTTAAAAATTATAATAATTATAGTCGACGAATCAAATTTCAACAGCCCTAATCATTTGATCTTTAGGCTCAGATTTCCCAGATACGAAGAGGATATGGGTTCCAAGATAGGCACGCTTATTAGAGCAGCTTTTACACTGTGTGAGTAGATCAGCTCTCATACTGCATAGAATCAACATCAGTTCAGGTGAGACTAAATTATGAGAAGCCTTATGGATGTTGGAGGTGTTCAACAGATGACTTGGTCGGTCACTTTCACCAGAATTATTCTCAATCAAAAGAATTAAAATATTATTCTCAATCAAAGACATTTCATCAAACATTTTAGGCTGAACTTAATGAAGGTAAAATCATAGCTCTTGCCATCGTTTGAAACCATTAATATATTCTCTTTTTAACATTTTATACTTGGGTTGATTGAACAATTGAACACATTTGTCTTCCCATTGTATCCTCTATTGCTGATAAGCGAGAAATGCTAAAAGGATTGTGTAAACGTATGCAAGAAAGAATGCATAAACTTTCGTGTAAAAGTATTTTGCGTCCGGTCAAGTCTTATAAATGATATATGATATAAAAAATGGTGACTTTAGATGCCGTCTCTATTTATCAAAGTTTTTTCACTAAAACCTTATTGGTTTTCAGTTTTTTATTGAAGTCCCTAAAATTAATGCAATAATGCATTTATATGTAAGTTATTATAATTTTAAATTAAAATTTGATATTTGTAGTTAATTATGTTAATGAGATTTCAAATAAAATCCAAGATTTGTGGGATTAAAAATAGTAAAAAATAAATTATAATTATATAAAAAAGTATAATTTATCTTGATGACATGATTTGTCACTAACATAAATTATATTTAAATAAAACCCATGATTTGTCATTACTTATATTATTGACATTTTACATACAAAAAATTGGTAATTTTTATACGGTACATTTTACATACAAAAAGTTGGTACCTTTTATACAAAAAAAAAATTGGTACGTTTTATAGAAAAGAATGAGTACATTTTGTATAACAAACAATGGGTATATTTTATATAAAAAAACAATTGGTACATTTAGATAAAAATAAATAATACGTCTTACATTAGAAAACAAGTACATTTTACATAAAAAAAGGGTACTTACAAAAAAGAAATTGGTACATTTTACTTATAACAGAGTGGTACATTTGTAAAGACAAATGGGTACATTATTAGTAAATTATTGGTGTAAATAAAAGGTTTAAAAAATGAGTACAAATAAAAGTTTAAAAAATATGGACACAAAAAGAAATTAATATATGTATACAAACTAAAACTGAAAAGAAAATGGTACAATTTAAAAAAAAAAGGTTGCAAATTAAAATGGGTACAAAGTAAAATAAAAATATATGATACAAAATGAAGCCATAAATATATATATCAAATGTTACGTTTCCAACACTAAATAAATATATTTAAAAATAAAATTTAATTATATTGACATGGAAGATATTTTATTATTGAAATAATTAATGACGTTTATTAAAACCAAGGAACCTTGATGAAAAATTGAAAATGAATAAGATTTTAATCAATAGAGTTGAAAAATGAGGGATGAAAACTTAATTTATGCTATAAAAAAAAGGAAGAAAAATGATGTTTGCACTACCCACACAAAGGTTTCATCAATGACTATGAGATCTTCAATCCCACAATTGTTGAATGAAGATCTACATTCATTGCTTCTAGTCCAGATCCTCGGCGGATCCTCTTTGTGAGGATTCTGAAGATCTGTGAATCGTATATGTTCATCATACATCGTGAGGTCAGAAATTATTTTAAATATTTTTATTTAAAAATAAACATAAACAGCACTTGATAAAAACTGATCGCACGATGTACGATGAATAAACACAATTCACAAATTCCCAAGATCCTCACCAAAATAATCCGGAGAGGATCCTGTTGGCATTGCTTCCAAGTTTTGTAGCTCACCAAATTCATATAATGCAAATTGTGTAAGGTTGAAAATATTGCTTAAAGGGGTCCTAATCAGCAACCTAACAACAACTATACGTGGACCCGCTTTGATGATGTGGCCATACATTATCCACACTCATCATATTTTTTTGACCTATTATAATTACTCCCCTTTAGATTTTTTTGATTTTTCCTTGTTTTTATTCTCCGGAGTCAAAGAGGATAATATTAATTAAATCGATGGCTAAGATATCCTTATCACGACGATCTTAACGTCAAAAAAATGGACTTTCACGTGGGACCAATGGTCATTTTGCCTTGTGTTCTCCTCCATACGTATATGACCTATTGGTAATGTTTTTAATCCTGCAAACCCACAAAGTCTAAACGTTTTTTATATTCACATCTCACAAAATGTTGAATGCAACTCACATTAAAAATTAAGTAAAACTAATAAAAAAAGGTTTGAAACTTTTGAGTTTTAACGATAAGGACAAAATAAAGGGTAAAGTGAATAGTATCAGGATTGACTTTTTAGTGTAAAAATGTGATTTTTTGTTAAAGTAAACAGTACCGAAAACTTTTCGTTAAAATTCTCTAAAATTTAATATTAAATGACTTATTTATTCTACTATGCAATGACAATTGTGATCTTATTAGGTTTTAAAAAAATAAAAATATTATAAATACACCCCAAATCACTTTTAACGTATTATTTATCTTTTTCAACTATCAAAACCTCTTTTACCCTTCATTGTTGAACAGAACCTTATCAAATGAAACTACAAACATGTTGATTGAGAAAAATTATTTTTGACGAATGGAACACGAAATCAATATTTCACAAGCTTCACATGAGGTAAAACTTCATATTTTTCATTGTTTTAGTGATTTCGACAACATCGATAATTATTTAATCATGTTTTTGCTGCGTTATTTAAGCTTCTATGTTCGTATTCATCTCTTAGGGATCATATGAATTATATGAAGAATTAAACACCTAAAATTACCACCAAATATTAAAAACACACACACATGGTTTTAATGGTGGAATTGAAAACAAACACACATATGCTTTAAATCCCAACCAACATCTTTTGTCAAAATTTCAGGCGGCATCTTTTGTCAATCTCATTATTCAAGACTTAGCACTTATGAATCTCATAATTCAAAAGCCATGGCCACCGAATTGATTGCAGAGTGTCAATGGCATTCATAATTAAGATGCTTTCTTGCACTGTACTAAGATGCTTTCTTACAGGTCGACTTGGTTCTACCAAAATATGCACAAGAAAATGAAAACAACAAGGTAGCTTTGAAATTATTATTGAAAGATGTTCAAATGAATCTAAACATTTTTCAAATCGTTCAATTTGAAATCATTCAACAAACTAAACATTTAAATGGTTAGATTCAGTCCCTAAAAATTACAAATGAGTGTTAGAGCAGTTCCACCGGAGGTGGAATAGCCCAGCACCCAGTCAAAAAATCAGGCTAGCACCTTGTCAATTCACTCCAGCCTGTGAAATCGACTGGCACCCAGCCTAAGCCAGTCCACAGGCCGGCCTAAAATCGACAGACCTTGGGACCGACCTATATGACGTCAGCGTGGCGTTGGAGGCATATGACGTCAGAGAGGGAGTTGCGCCAGAGAGGGAGTTGTTGTGGAGGCTGAGGAGCGGAGCTGGTCGAGGCGGGAGAGGATGTCGAGAGGGAAGGAACCACGGAGGGAGAAAGACGGGAGGACGAAGCGACGACGTCAGAGGTGTGGAGATGCAGGAGGACGAATCAACGGCGTTGAAGGACAGGAGGTGTGGAGATGTTGTAGAGGAGTTAGTTGTTGAGATGTGGAGATGCAGGAGGTGAGGAGATGCATGAGATGTAGGAAGTGCAGGGGTGGATGGCGTGCATAAATGGAAGGGAAAGGAGGTGTGGAAGATGAGAAAATAATAATATTTTAATAATAATAATATTTTTTTTTATAAAGTTAGAAATTAAAAATAAAATTGACTAGGCTTTTTTTTTTTAGGGATGAAGATGCATTGGCCTATTACTATTCATTGTGGTCTATCACTGTTCACTTGAGTGGATAAATGCGCTGGGTGCTGGCGTAAAGTCTTTAGGGGTGGACTTGCTCATATAGATTTGAGAAATGGGGGGTGTACAGAAAATGTGGGGTGTGAGGGTATTATAGTGAAGTATGTGAGGTGTATTAATATAATTTTTAATTGAAAAAAAAAATGTGGAGTGTATTAAGTAT